GCATCACGTGATTGCATCCGTACCTCAACTTATGCACTTGATTTTAGTATTGATCTTATCGGTATCTTCTGCATCACCCATACTTTCTATTTTTGAAAAAAAAAATGAGATACAAAAGCGGCACGTTCAGGTTCTGTACGCAGGTAGCAAAATGAAACGGTACATGGCCGCGCAAAAGCGGTGCGTATACAGCGTGACAAAGCTGTATGTACAGCGTATTGTGCAGCTTATACAGCGTATATATTCCGCACGAGCAGCGGCTACACCCCTCACCTAATCATTCACCATCTCGCCCAACCCTTGAGGTATACAAACGTCTATATAATAATACGCTGTGTATACAGCTTCACGTCACCCTCAAAATCGTCCGGTTTGAAGGGGTTAACTAATACTTTCTTATGAACCAATTTACTAAATAAATATTAGATTGGTAATAGGGGTGGGTTATACACACAATCCGATCAATCGAGATGTATCTTCTGACGTATCCGATTGGCTCAATCCGATTTTCGATTCGCTTCGATAGAATCCGACTGATCGGTAGATCGAATCCGACTTGGTTGATATGAATTTCTACAGGAAAGCGTATTAAAACAGATCAATAACGGATTTCTATAAAGAGGTATTAGGGTGTAAAGACTTAGATTTTTAACCAATTAAGTTACAGTATCTTCAATTTTAAATAAATTATTCGACATGATTCTTCATTAAATGTAAAAGTTTATGGCTGCGGCATGCAGTTCACTTAATAATTGGTCCTGGAGAGTCTCCAGGCTAACTACAAGCGCCAGGAAACTTCATGGAGAAGACAGAAGGCGATGCAAGTCATTCAACACTTCGCCCTGCTCGGCTACACTGCCAAGTATGTGTGTTGTGGTTAAAGAATAAATCGATCTGATCCGATTGGATCGGATTCGATCGGATTCGATCCGATCAGATGTGTAGTTGGTGCGTCATACTTCATTATTTCAGTAAATCGCAGCTGCGCAGCGCCGCCTGCGCTGTGCGGTCTGCACAGGCCCCCGCTGCGGTCCAGCATCTCATTTCCTAATTCACTTCATCCTCATTTTCCACTATTAGCAATGGAGAGTCAGGTCGAGTCAAGCACAAATACCGGGTCAAGTAATATAAGGCACACTAACAATCTGAGGCACTCAGATATATGGACCTACATTCGCTCAAACGCGGACGGCACGTTCACGTGTCTGTTATGCCCTGCCGACACCGCTCCAGGTTGGAACAGCTGCGCTCACACCACATTTCGACGGCACTTACAAAAATGGCACAAAGAGGAATATGGGGGCGGAGATGACGAAGCTGTGGAGAGTACGAACGGTGCTCGACAGACGGATTTACTTGCCTTCGGATTTGAGCGGTATGTGAGGCAGCGTAAGTTCGACAAGGCAGCTGCTGACTCCGAGCTCATAGTCATGATTGTATCCAACGCACTTCCTTTTAGCCTTGTCGAGAAGAAAGAGTTCAGATTGTTCTGCAACACGCTCTGCTCGGAGTACATGCCACCAACACACAAGACATTGCGGGAAAAATTATAAAGCGTTGGAGGTGCGAAAAAGATCTGGTGCGGTATGGAATTCTTAGTGGCACTAAAAGGTGCCGGGTCTGTGCCACGACAGACATGTGGACGTCAGCGGCAAACAAGGGGCCCACGGTGGTGACGCTACACTGGATTAGTGAAGATTGGCTAATTCAGACAGTTATGGTTAGGTTCACCAGGGTTGAATATCCTCATACCGGAGCCCGTCTTGCGTATCACCTTGTCGATACACTGCGAGCGATGCATGGATCTTTGTTCTCAAAATTGTGGGCTATTACAACAGACAACGCCAGCAACAACGGAACGATGATTGAAACAATTAATGCAGCATTGCAGGACCAGATTGATACCTACGCACGACAAACGGTGCCTCCATCAAATTTTGACGCGATATCTACACCTTCATCGGATGTGCCATCTGAGCCAAGGGTTAAACAGGTGCGATGCCTTGCACACGTTTTGCAGTTAGCTGTTAAGGAGGGGTTGAAGCAGTGCCCGCTGATGGATGACAGTATCGGCGTGATTCGTGATTTTCTCAAGAAATTATCAGATTCGCCTTCATTGCTAGAGGCTTTGCAGGAGGTGTGCACGTCGGTAAACGTAAAGTTCATCGCACCGGAGCTTGATTGTGTGACCAGGTGGAATAGCACGCTTACGATGTTAGCGTCAGCCCACTCGCTAAAGGTGGCAATCGTAGGGTTGCAACGAAGAATTCGAGGGCGTCACGAGGGATACAAAGATTTCTCCATCGGTCCAGATGACCGCTTAGCAGCACCTTTTTCTGAGACCACGTGGGGCTATGTGGTAGAGCTCATGACGTTTCTGCGGCCTATCAAAGGCGCTACAACGATGATGTCTGGGAAAAATTACTCGACGTTCGGCGTAGCACTGGTTGTTTATCATCTCGTCACAAAACATGCATCAAAGACAGCGGCAAATGCTGTTTTTTGGTATATGAAGGACTTCGCGCGCGCGTTCAAGACTAAGCTTGATGAATACATTCCGGTCGTGAAGACCAAGCATGCACAAATTGCTGCAGTGCTTGATCCGCGAGCCAAGTCCCACCTCTCCGACATTGGCATTGATGTCGAAAGCGTTAGGCGCCTTGTAGAAGCTGAATTTGAATCCGTCTACAAGGGCTCTTACGACCAAATAGAACTTGTTGCCACTTCTGCAGAGAAAACGCAGAAACAGATTGAAGAAGCCGAAGACGCGGAGGCGCTGTACTGTCTAATTGACGAGCACATGGAATCGGGAACACTGGTAAACAGCACAAGCGAGTCGTTCGCAACTGAGTTGGCGAGGTGGCTAGAGCACCCTGATCGATCCATGACCCTCAAAACCACCAGTCGAGCTGTCTGCAATTGGATGAAGCACGAAACAGCTTCGTTTCCGCGCATCAGGATGATGGCGCGTGATTATTTGTCTGTGATGGCTACTTCAGTGCCGAGTGAAGAAGCCTTTTCTGCTTCAGGAACAACTATCAGTTCTCGAAGGGCCAGGCTTGGGGATGATGCTGTCACGACGATTTCGGAGTTGCAAGCATTTTTAGCATTTAACATGACCTCAGGCGATGCCCATGCCGGTCCCGTTGCCATTAGCAAGCTAGTGTAAACAAACCGTAGCGACAGGATGTCAGTGCTCTAATTATGCTAAACTCCATCCGAGAATCAATCTTGTACAGACGGCCATCCCTAGAAATGGAATGCGCCCTCAATAGCAAAAACTTAGAGGATGCGTCGACAATAGATATTTGTTTACCTTGCATTACAGCGCATTAAAATCTACAAATAACACGTACAACACCTCAAGTTCAGCGTCCAGCACCGCCTCTGCCGTTCCACCTCGTGCAGCAGGTACTCGCCAACAATTAGGTAGCAAAACGTTTCCACAACAGAAACAAAAGCAGCCGTTCGACGTCTTGTACCCGTTACGGAGCTTCTCAACGCTTCTTCTCACGATCCACCTCCTTATCCAGCTGACAACTCTCAAAAACGTCATCTTTGGGCTGAATTTGTTGGAGCTCTTGGCAATGACAGCAGATTTGTGGTACTATTTCGCGAACTCTTCGCAAAGCCGCCCCAAAACGCATTACAGCTCCTGGACATGCGCTCCATCTCCTTCACCTGATTGCCCAGCCCCTGAGCAGTGACGCATACGGTACCGGTCTGCTTCAGAGTCAGTTCATATTCAACCTGGAGACTTCCCAGCTCATGCGCAGAACGGCACTGCGTCGAAGTGGTGCGCAATGACCCCATCGTCGCTCACCACTGCTTCTTGGGCCACTTCGCTCTCTCCCGAGGCATTAGCTGCCTGTACCAGCACCTCCGAAAAACGCTGAAGAATTGACTGCAACTGCTGCTTGCGGTGCCGCGAAGCCTTTCGTCGTCAGCTCAATAACCTGATCGGCCAGCTTCGACCGCGCAGCTTCCAGCTCGTTGCTGGACTCGGTTTGACATCAGCGTCCAGCTTGCCGGTCGTGTCTTCCAAGTCCTGTTCATGAGCACGAGAAGGCTCACGCTCCTTGTTGAGCTTCAAGGTGAGCGAGCTGATTTGGGAAACGTAGCGAGTCTACATCTCTTGCTGAGTCATGGCTAGCTACACCAGACGCTGCTGGTTGGCTTGCTCGGCCCTTTAGTGTTTCTGGGCTGTGTCTACTCGACACTTCGGTAAGCTCAACACGGGGCATCTCGCTTTTAGCCAACGTCTGGCTCTTGATCGCTTCCAGCCCCTCCTCCTTCTCGGTAGATGTACTGCCACTCTTCGCACTCATCTGAGTATCGTCACCCTCCCCTCCAGACGAACCTTTGTCTCTTCGATGTCCAGAATCTGGGCTAAGCACTCGTCAATCTTGCTGCAAGCCTCCTACATCCCATCCGTCAAAGTCTCCAATTCACACTGATACAGAGCTTCTGTCCTTCAGCTCATTCTCCAGCTCTGCGATCGTCGTCTTGGTCAAGCGCCGACTTGGCGTCTTTCCGTTACGTTCCTCGAGCTTTGCCTTTATTGGTGCAAACTCTGTCGTATGCACCAGACGGAGACCACCTCGGTCTTGAGATTCATACGCGTGTGCTCAATCTGAGCACGCTGAATCTACTCCGGCAAGTCGTTCTTCTCGTCCATTAGCTCAGCCGATTCCTCTTCAAGCGCGTCTTCTCCACAAGCGTGCCGTGCACGTGGTACATGACTCTACGATCTGCTGCTACAGCTTACTAGTCTTTTCGTCGTAGTAGCTCGAGAGCTTCGTGATGAAGTCCTCTATGATGACCTTCTGACTCCACTTGGCAGCGTTTAACTTCTCTGTCAGCAGGTTCTCCGGTTAACGCAACCTGCTTCTTCATTTCGTCGCCATTTTGGAGCACTTGAGCCACCTGCCCCATCTCCTTGAGCTCCAACTGCGCGATAAACAGCTCGCGCTCGTTCGTCTTCAGGGGCTTCACGTCACGGTTGGCCAGATCCAACATCTCGTCCGAAGATGTGTTAATACGATTTAAGGCCTTGGACAACAGTCTTAGCTGCCTCTGGCCGGCATGCAGCTTCGACGCCACCTGACGGGCCATCTTGTCCTTCTCGCTCTCCAAGTTACGGATCTTCTTGCGCAGCTCAGTCACTTCTTTCTTAGAGTTGCATGCCAGATCGTTCTAGTCCTCGTTGTCGACAACACAGCGATTCTTTCCTGCGCCAACATCAACTTGCTCTCCTCCTGCAACTTCTGCCTAAGCTCCAAACGCTGCTCTTCCTTATGCTCTCCGCCTCAGTCATCGTCGTACGCAGCTCCATCAATCGACTGGAACTGCTGCTCCTTGCTGGCGAAGCAGCGCTCTACTTCGGCCTAGGTAGTAGCCGCTAAGCAACAGAGCGGGCCAGGTGTCCACTTAGTTGTTCGCTTGTCTCATCTGTCTAAAGCGATTAGTTGTATATCATAATATTTGTTTTACAAGATATAAATAAAGGCAGGCAAAGAAGTGCTTACTATTGGTGCGAACCGAAGCGTTTACCGACCAATTACCTGCTTGCACCGTCAGGTTCAGCACACAATCTATTGAATCCGATTCGATTCGATTCAATCGGATCGAATCGAAATTGATCGAAATATCACCCAATCCGATCGTCAGCGATCATAATCCGATTAAGATCCGATTAGCGAATCGGATTAGATTATTGCTACCCATCCCTAATTGGTAATAATAGTATTGTATACTTTGATGACGTAATCTGTCCTATTTTATCCAATAAAATTGAATAACAATTTCGATTAGAAGGATTAATAATCACTTGTGGATTTGGTCTATTTTGCAGCAAGACAAATTCAGCCAGACTGGAAACTGCGCCGCGAAGTACTGAAGTAGCATGAGCTTGAAAAGGCGGTGAAAATGTGACCATAAGAATACCAACAACACAGATCAAGAGCCGTTTTGACAGCCAATCCCAGCACTCAGAACTGTAAAAGCTGACTTCTGTGATTTGAAAACACAAATTCTCTCCTCTATACCATCGCAATACTAAACCACACGTCGATAAATCGTACCTAAGCGGAAAATAAAGAATATCATATAATATCTAGCATCCCTTGTATTGCTGAGTTAATAAACAAATATCATATTATTTTTTGCATTAATACTAGATATCATGTTAGTCTTTTGCATTAGAACTAATACTAAGAGGACAGCTATAACTGGCTGAACAACCCACCAATTTTATTACACTTGCCGGGAGCCCCCTTTTATTCGCAAATGTGCCCTGCGTCAATAGCCCACCGATTTTGGCTACACGAACTCAATCATGTATGTACATTTTGTGACTCGCGGTCTTCCTGGAGAAGCGATGTATGATACATCAAATTTTATTTTTTTTTCAATTGAAGGATCCGCTTGGATCCACCGCAATTTTTTCCACGAATTGTTGTCGGTTTGGAAACTCATCTTACTTGACCAAAAGCGCATTTTGACGCGTTTGGCACCGCACGACAAAAATCGCAAAGCTCAAAAGATCGTGATCGTTGCCTTCTTTGCAATCCAGTAGTTCCAAACGAGCGGTGACCTTTCAAATTTTGTGATTCCCCATGAGTGAAGACTCTGTCGCCCAGCTAGAGGATGTATCTGACGAAGATGAAGACGTCGTCCGTGAATTAGGTTTCTTCGCCGGATACCATGGGCACACGTACTTCGACAAGCAGCATTACCACAACTCCATCCTGACGAGATCCGATTGGGTAGCCGAGCTCGTTGAAGGAAACCCGACACGCATGTTCCGAAGCTACCGCATGACAAAGCCCGTGTTCAGGCCCTTTTGCGCTGCCCTTGACAACGCGGATCGACAGACACCCTGGTCTCCTGTCAGTGTAGAGGATAAGGCAGCTATCTTCCTTTACAGCATTGCAAAGAACGCCTCGAACAGCGATCTTCAAGAGCGCTTTCAACACAGCGGAGAAACCATTCATCGGTGCGTTTTCTATTTATGGTTACATCCGTGCTTTGACTAACCCATTGGTGTCACTTAAACAGGCATTTTTACCGTGTTTTTGATGTTGCCTGTAACATGGCGAGTACGTATCTTGTCCAACCAGCCACCTCATCACAGCTGCTACAGAACGAACCACAATATGCTGGTCAGTTCGATCAATGCCGCCTTGTCTTTAATCGCATGCACATCCCTGCCTACGTGCACAGTGAAAAAGCGAAGCCATTTCGTGAGAGGACTGGTAAGCTCAGTCAGAACGTGTTTGCTGCGTGTACATTTGTGGTGGAGTGGGGTTCGCAAAATCACGTTGCGATCCGCTCGGACACACAGTGCCCTGGACTGTCGACTGACGGAGGGGGTACTCCGATAACCGTGGGGTTGCTGAGGGCT